TTGGACAGATCATTTCTATCTTTTGGCTCTGGTGAGTTATACAAGCTAATCAAAATCAAATTTGTAAATATAAATATGTGTAATCATTTTTTAAAGTAATGATTGATGAGAAATTTCATACTCCTAATGAGAGAAAAATTGTCTAAAGATTAGCCTTTATTCCCTCCTCACATTAGTAAAAAGTTTTGTTCACACATTTATTTTTTTATTTTATTTTTTTGAGACAGAGAGAGCAGAGGAGGGGCAGAGGGAGAAGGAGAGAGAATCTTCCGCAGGCTCCATGACCAGCATGGAGCCCAACAACATGGAACTCTACTTACTCAGGGCTCAATCTCATGACAGTGAGATCTGACCTTAGCCAAAATCATGAGTTGGCCACTTAACCCACTGAGCCACTCAGGCACCCCTCATGCACTTATTTATCCTTACCACAGATAATTTTGAGTTGGCTGCCTTGGATTACAAAATATGATTTATGAATTACCATGTCTCGTAGTGTGGGAAGTTAAAAGTAATTCTTGTACCCTAAATTATCCTTTGCAGCAGAGATATGGCCACAAAGAATTTGTGTTTCTTTATTGAACCCCAGCTATTGAATATATTGCTTAATATTGTTATTTAATAAATGTGCATTTCAGCGGTCAGCCAAGCATTTGTCTTCTTCTATGACAAAATCTGTATATAAGCATTAGTGGGCAATGTAGAATATGCTAAACATTTGGTAGTGGTAGAGAGTTTACATCCCACATCTCACTACAAATAACTTTGAATTTTGCCATGTTGTATACACTGCTACCTATGCTGCTAGTTAGTGTTCCATTTTTTCCCTCTTCCCCCAAGGAGCTTCTAGTCTCTCTTATATTAATCCCTCTGGATTCCCTCTATTCTTTAAAATATAATTTCTCCACGTTGTTTATATGTCTATTTTGTCCTCTGTTTATGGAGCCTGTTTACTGTGTGTCCATAGGTAAACAAAAAAACAACAATTTTTTTACTAAGAGATTACCCAGACAGTCACTTGAAAAACTCTTGTTTCTGGGCTAATATGTTGCTTAAGGATCTTAATAGTTGAATATATAGAGCTTTTATGGGGAGGAGGGGAGGATTTATGAGCAGATTAAACGAAATGACAAGGTTTAAGACTTCTTGCTGTGATTATAAGATCAGTTTTTGCTTAATAAAAGCCAATGACTGAACTTTAATGAATTACTTCCTGGCCCAACCTTAGAATTTTTTAGTTTAGGAGTTAGTTTAAAAAAAAAAAATGTTCACCAAATTTCTGATTGTATCAAAGATGAATTTAGTCTTGTGATGGTCATAGTACTTTGTTTTGAAAAGCTCAGATCAACTGATAAGCTAGTGTTGTGGTGAGCTCTATCTAGCATGTACCCAGAGTAGATTTAAGATGAGGTGAGGGGCGCCTGGGTGGCTCAGTCAGGTCAGCATCTGTCTGATTCTTGATTTTTGGCTCAGACCGTGATCTCACAATTAGAGAGATCAAGCACCTCCCTTGGACTCTGCTCTGAGCTTACAACCTGCTTCAGATTCTCTCTGTCTCTCTGCCTCTCCCTCACAGTTGCTAGTGTACTCTCTCTCAAAATAAATAAACATTAAAAAAATAGAAGAGGTGAGAACTAGAATTTCTCTCAGAAACTAGCTTAGGCTTTTGTGGGCATATTGAATCCCCTTGGAATTTATATGCCAATTTAATAATTTGACTGAGTAATTAGTAGTCCACTTCTGGAAATGATTATGTAATTGTATTTAAAAGAAAATATATTTCTGGTATTATATTTACATAACCATCTGCTGTATTTATGTAGCTGTTGTTAGCTGCTTCATTAGGAGTCTACAAATTACTCAGACTCCCAGAAGGTAAGATTTACAGATTGCCTGTTTCCACTATGTGAAAATTCAACCACAAAATTATGAATGTGTCCTTGACCTATATTTTTATATTTGTGATTGAGCAGGACCTAAAATTTTATCAGATGGTTGGCTTGTTATATTTTTACATTTCTAATATATATTTTTCAAAAATTTGGGTTTTGTTTTTAAAACTTTACCCCGTTTGTCTTCAAAAAATTATTTATTTGGTATTTGCATATGTATATCTAGAAAATAACTGCTGGACTTTTCTATAAAAGAGTAAGTTCCCTTTTAGGTAATATCAGAATCTAGATGTGACTGTATGTAAGAATGTAGTAATAATTAAATACTTTGTTTGCCTAGTGCCTCATTTAAGCCTCGTAGCAACATTCAGAGGTAAGTATAAATTTGTCTGTTGTATAGAGAAGGAATGCTAGATTGGTAAATATCAAACATCTTAACTATATCTCCCTCCTCCCCTTTATCCTAGCAAAGGAATCGAGGTACAAAGATGAGGCAGATTGCTGTTGACTTTTAGCAGGTGACAACTTTACTATGACTCAGGCATCATCTAATCACATACATATCTAGGCATCCCATCTCATCTTTTCAATGGATACACAGATGCCTAGGTTCCAGCCCTACCCTAGAAATCCTGATTCCTTAATTGTAGTTTTTCAAAAGGTCCACAGATAATTCTTTTGTGCATCTGTTATCAAGACCACTGCCTTAATAAAATGGCACTTCAGGGTCAGACAGGCTTGAATTAGAGTCTTGATTCCTCTAAACTTAATCAATTGAGTGATCTTGGCCAAGTCTTTTGTCCTATTAAGATTCTTCTAGGGGTGCCTGGGTGGCTTAGTCGGTTAAGCGTCCGACTTTCGCTTAGGTCATGATCCAGCGGTTCGTGGGTTCGAGCCCCGCGTCGGGCTCTGTGCTGCCAGCTCAGAGCCTGGAGCCTGTTTCAGTCTGTGACTCCCTCTCTCTCTGACCCTCCCCTGCTCATGCTGTCTCTCTCTCTCTCTCTCTCTCTCTCTCTCCTAGAAATAAATAAAACATAAAAAAAAAAATATAAGAGTTAATGTTTAAAAAAAAAAAGATTCTTCTATAAAGTGAAGATACTATTATTCATTTTAGAGGGTTGTTGAGAATGAATGAGTCATTTAGAATTATTCTTAAACATTGTTTGCTATTAAGGTGTCGTCCTTATGTTATCCTTTGTCCAGTCAAAACACTTACTCTTGTCATAATTTGTATCAAGTTGGTATCTGGTAACCTGATGAATACCAGCATAAGGAATAAATGATGGCTAGTTTTCATCATTTACCTTCATTAGCAGAATTATAATAAGGGACAGAGGAGTAGGCAGGAGATTGTTTTATCACGCCAGTCAGTCATACTTCTCTCATGTGTATTAGTTTGACCCTGGTAGGAAAAGAAGAGGGAGAAGGTTACTGGAAACTGTTACCTTCCCAAGGAGTTTTTCTTTCCCTTTCTCTCCCAACTTCTTCTGAAAGCTTAGCATCACTGGCATCAATCCTTTAGTCTCATAACTGCATCCTGTTGTACCTAGGTACTTTTCCTTTTCTGTATTTCCCCTACCCCCCTTTCCCTCTATTAAATTTTATTCTATCCTTCATTCAGATTGGTTTGAATTGAGTTGTGACTTATTTGTTGACTTGGACCCCAAGTGTCTGTATTTCCAGGCTATTACTCAAGTAAAGGTTGACATAAATTTTAAACGACTGTCTCCCTGCATTGTGTGGGCCCATTCCAGACCAGGGTTTGTAGTTTTTGGTTATTGGAAAAGGATTAGATTAGCTAAGCTTTCAGGCTTGTCCACATGGCTATTCCTAGGCCCTCTAATCTCCTTTAGTACTTATAACTAATGGTCATAGAGTATAATAATCATGATATATGTTATTACCAGTAAATCAGTAAAACATCAGTAGATTACAGTAGCTTGATTTTGTTACATATAACAAGCTTTGCTATATGTATGTATAATTGTACCTTGACAGTTGAGGCTGTACTACTTACAGTAACTTAATAACTTGATGACTTTGTCAAAGACTGAAAAACCTATGGAAATGGTAGAATTTGAACTAGACTTTAAAAGATGGGTATACTTTTCTCTATAAGTAGGGAGGAGACAGGCAAAGGATTCCAGTTAAGGGGACTGACCTGAGCAAAGGCTCGAAGGAGTATGCAAATTTGGACCATTGTGAGTAGATCATGTTTTACTTTTTCAGAGTTCATGTAGTAGGAATAAAACTATAGGTAGTTCAGAATTAAAGTGGAAAATCCTGAATGTTCAGCCAAGACGTTTGAATTAGTAGGCTTTTGGTATGTTGTGAATTCATTTGGCTTTTTCTTGATTAATATACACATACAACGTAGGTCTGAGATTTCCTAAGAGATTCACCTGTTTATTGCATCCTTAAACACTTGGCTTGGTTTATGTAAGCTGATGATTACTGCCAGATCTCCTTTCTACCACGAGTGGTTTTGCCTCATAGAGGCAATGTCAGGTCAGCTGCCTTTATCGTCGTGCTTTAGTTCTGTTTGCTTGGTTCTAAGCTGTGCCTGATCAGCCTTTTCCCCTGTTCTTTCTTATTAATCTCTAGGTTCCAAGTCAGCTACACAATGTCTGCTTATAAGAGTTGTGATTTCTAAATCTCTCTTTTTTTTAAGTAAATCCTACACCAATGTATGGCTTGAACTCACAACCCGGTGACTGAGCCAGTCAGCCAGGCATCTAAGAGTTGTGATTTCCTGGGTGCCTGGGTGGCTCATTCAGTTAAGTGTCCCATTCTTAGTTTCGGCTCAGGTCATGATCTTGAGGTTTGTGAGTTTGAACCCCAATGCAATTCAAACCCCAATGCGTTTCAAGCCCTAGGGCTCTGCGCTGATGCTGCGAAGCCTGCTTGGATTTCTCTCTCTCCCTCTCTCTCTCTCTGCCCCTCCCCTGCTCATGCGCTCTCTCTCAAAATAAATAAACTTTTTTAAAAAGTTGTGATTTCTTATTTAAAAGGGTTTTTTTTTGGTCTCCTTCACCCTTAAAAAGGTTGATGGATACATATTTTGTGTGTAAGGTAGTTATTAACTTTGCTGTTTTTCTTCCTTTGCAGACCTAGAATATCAAGACATAATGGGAGCATTTTTAGACAAGCCAAAGATGGAAAAACATAATGCCCAGGGGCAGGGTAATGGGTTGCGATATGGGCTAAGCAGCATGCAAGGTTGGCGAGTTGAAATGGAGGATGCACATACGGCTGTGATCGGTTTGCCAAGTGGACTTGAAACATGGTCATTCTTTGCTGTGTATGATGGGCATGCTGGTTCTCAGGTTGCCAAATACTGCTGTGAGCATTTGCTAGATCACATCACCAATAACCAGGATTTTAAAGGGTCTGCAGGAGCACCTTCTGTGGAAAATGTAAAGAATGGAATCAGAACAGGTTTTCTGGAGATTGATGAACACATGAGAGTTATGTCAGAGAAGAAACATGGTGCAGATAGAAGTGGGTCAACAGCTGTGGGTGTCTTAATTTCTCCTCAACATACTTATTTCATTAACTGTGGAGACTCGAGAGGTTTACTTTGTAGGAACAGGAAAGTTCACTTCTTCACACAAGATCACAAACCAAGTAATCCGCTGGAAAAAGAACGAATTCAGAATGCAGGTGGTTCTGTAATGATTCAGCGTGTGAATGGCTCTCTGGCTGTATCGAGGGCCCTTGGGGACTTTGATTACAAATGTGTCCATGGAAAAGGTCCTACAGAGCAGCTTGTCTCACCAGAGCCTGAAGTCCATGATATTGAAAGATCTGAAGAAGATGATCAGTTCATTATCCTTGCATGTGATGGTATTTGGGATGTTATGGGAAATGAAGAGCTCTGTGATTTTGTAAGATCCAGACTTGAAGTCACTGATGACCTTGAGAAAGTTTGCAATGAAGTAGTCGACACCTGTTTGTATAAGGTAGCTAGACTTTCTTTTAAAAGATAAAAATGATTTTATGTCATGGTAATTATTACTCTAGTATTTTATCATTTTAGAAACTATAGGTCTCAGAAATAAGTTTTTGGTGCAAAACTGCAGGGTACTCTTTGCCAATTCGGAAAATTTAGGAACATATTTTATAAATAAATTACCAAATATGCAAGAGTTATAATCTGAATGGTCTTTTACTAACCATTACTACTTGAGCCTTTCAGTATTGTAGAAGATTATCAAAGGCAAAAAGATCATATCAGAGTGCATGTTTTAAAAAGAAAGGGAGTGTTAGGCCTCTGTCTATAATGAAAAGCATTTTAGAATTTTAATATTTTATTTTTATCATGTGATATCTCAGTACATTCATGGAAGTACTTTGAGACTATGGTGTAATGAATCTGTAGCACCAACAAAGAATTTAGTGATCATTGGTGTGATGTAATAAGAATAGCCTTGGACATGGAGTCAGAAGAACTTGGTCTGAGACTCTGTAGGACTTCAGGTAAGCTATTTAAGCTGTCTGGAAAAAAATCAGTTTCTATAATTGTAAAAAAGGTAAGAGATTATTATACTGTCTCATGGGTTGTTGGGAGGATCAAAAGGGATCATGTATATAGACGAGCCAGCTCGGCCCCTTCATTTTACAAGTGAGGAAGCTGAAGCAAGAGGAAACATACTTCAGAGTCAGGCCTTGAATCAGGCTCACCTCTATTACTTTTGTACTCTCCAGTCTTGGACAAATTGTTCAACCTTTCTTAGCTATTGAACAGAGATCATAGTATCTAATTCATAAGACTATTGAAGAATTAAGTTTTTTGTCAATGTTCATTAATTCTTTGATTTTTTCCACCTAGCAAATGTTGATTTTATAAAGCTCTTCTGAGGCTACATATTTGATTTTTTTTTAACGTGCAGAAAATGAAAGTCTTCTTAATGTTCTTTGTAGTTTTATAAGCATACTGCCAGCTCTACCTAAAATCTTAATTAAAATCTGATCATACTTAGAAATCAGGTTTATGCAGCATCCAACACAAATTCAAGTTTATGGAACATCCAACACATGTTACCAAAAATCAGTAGAGCAACAACTTAATTGTGCACACTGCTAATTTCTGAATTTGAGGAGAGCTGAACAATGATGAACAATGACGCATGTGTTTGTTGTCCCTGTTAGTATGCATAAAAGTAGTAGTATCCATTTCTTGGTCTTATTCTGTAGCTCTTGAGAAATAAATAGTTGTTGCTAAATTCAAAGCTGTTTTCTTGAGAGAATTATCACATTCAGCCACTAGTAAATTATGACTCAGCTTCCACTGTATCTCTTCTGCATTCTACTCCATTTTAAAAATTATTCAGTATACCTTATCATTTGCCACATTTAATACTGTTTTTCTCCTAGATTCTTTTTAATATTAAAATTCTTTGCATGGTTTGCTTAAACTAATGTTATAAAGTCAGTTTTCCCATACATAGGCATCAAATACTTAACATGTAAAAGTTAATTCCAGTTCCTAACAGGAAGAGGAATATGAGGAGGCTACCATTGAATCGAGTATTTTAATTACAACATTTTGAATACCTAGGTGTCTTTAAAATGAATGTACTTCCTAAAAGTTAAGTCAGTTTTTTTAACTTATGAAAGTTAAAAACTGTTTTATAAACTATATATGTATATTTTTACTTCTAATTCCATGTTTCTATTATGAAGCAAATTAATTAGCCCCATAATTTATTATAATTCATTTTATTTTATTTTTTTATTTTTTTATATATTTTTTATTTATTTCTAGGAGATAGAGAGAGACAGCGTGAGCAGGGGAGGGTCAGAGAGAGAGGGAGTCACAGACTGAAACAGGCTCCAGGCTCTGAGCTGGCAGCCAGCACAGAGCCCGACACGGGGCTCGAACCCACGAACCGCGAGATCACGACCTAAGCGAAAGTGGGACGCTCAACCGACTAAGCCACCCAGGCGCCCCTGTTATAATTCATTTTAAATATAAATCTGTCGAGCTTACATGTAACTACAGATCAAATCCTCTTGTAAGGAAATACCACTAGAATTTTCTGTTTTGTTGAGTAAATATGTATGTGTATTCAGGTTAGATAATACTTCAAGTTAAGTAAGCCACCAATAAATGTTCAGAAATATTTTTGTTTTATAGCCTTTTAAAAAAATGGTTGTTGTAGTGTTTCTCCTGTCTTTTGGAGTGTTAGTTGTACTGTATACCATACATACTATTAAGTGTATGGGGGGGGGGTGCCTCTCCACATATGCATATCTTCTTCTCCTTAAAAACAACATGTGTATATTTTTTACTAGAATAAGTATAATTAAAATTGTCTTGGCTATAAAGATTCTCAAAGCCTTAAAGAGCAAGAAGAAAGCGTAATATTTCTCAAACTTTTTTCTTCCTAGGGAAGTCGAGACAACATGAGTGTGATACTGATCTGTTTCCCAAATGCTCCCAAAGTATCACCAGAAGCAGTGAAGAAGGAGGCAGAATTGGACAAGTACCTGGAAAGCAGAGTAGAAGGTGGATCATTTAACAAAAAATAAGTAGCTTTATTAAAGAAAAACCTCAACACAATCAAACTTTCATATTTTAGCTTTTAGATCTTTACATGCCTTTGACATTTAGTGTTTAGTGTACAAAAGTGGGAAAGGGCATTTCTGTAGTCACTGTTGAGATGTTTTTGATTGTCCTATCACAGTTATAATAGAAATAAGAACTAGTGTGGCGCTGTACATTCTGTTAAGGATATTTTTGTTCAAAAAGGCTAAAAAGTGTTTGTATGCTTTAAAATTCTTGATGAATTCACTGGCATGAGTAATTTTATGCCAGGAGGTGTGATTTGTGGTTCATTATGAAGAGCTTGTTTATGATGGTGGTAATTTGAATACCATCTTTCTGTGTAAAGCTATGCATATGAATTTAAGATTTTTAGGACTTTTTTTTAAGTAACTTGAAGATCACAGAGCCTGGTTATTAGCAACTTTCATGTGCCACAGCTTTTAAAAGTTTATTTTAATCTGTTTCAAGGCTTCTTGCCTAAGACATAAATTCCCTCACCTAGGTAACATAGACCTGAATAGAAGATATACTAGGTCTCTACTTGGCAGAAATGTAAATGCTGAATAAAGTCAACACTTCATTGGGAGGTTCCAGGAGTTCCAGGGGTAGATTTGTCATAATTTTGCAAATTATTTTGAGACAATTAGAAAGATGTCTATAACTGTTGAGTATATAATGGCTTTAAACATTTGAAAAAATATAAATGACCTTTTATGCAGCTACTACTTAATATAAATGCTAAGTCTCCCCAGAGAATTCCATTTCACTGCATATATTCAGTAGGCATGTAGATTATGCAGTTCCTTTAAGCAGAAAAACTTAACATGCCTATAAAAGCGTTAAAATACATTTTGGGCTCCTGATGTTATGAATTTGCACTTTAAAGATCTAATAGCATGTAAGCATTGACCTACACACTATTATATCCTGCTGTGCCTGCATTACTAAAATTAAAATGCACTTTAATTTTGTTTTCTCCCTTTTTACTGTTTGATATCAGTTATAATCAGTCTGATACTAGAATCACAATTGGTTTTGATTTTCAGTACTATCTAGAGCTGCTATTTTGTTTTTATTGCTCTCCCCCACTTGATAGTGATATATCTAGTGTGTGTATGTACTATTTAATATTTCATTCATTGGACATACTATTCAATGGCTTTGTTTTCTCACTATGACCCAAGGGTCATAGAATTTTTATATTTTAAATGAATCATTTTGATATGTTATTTATACATAATACAGTAAAATAAAATATTTAGAATGCTACCAGGTTATTTCACACTGGGTCGAACTGCTGGTTAGTGGAAAAATGAAACCGTAAGAATCTGTATTAGGATAAATTGGTATTCGATTTATTAGCACTTTAATTTGGGTGTACATGTTTTCTTATTGATATAAAGAATAAATAGTTTTATTTGCTATGAAATAGGATCACATTTTTGAAATACAACTTTTCTCTTTAGTATGCACTCTTTAAGTTTCTGGTGCAATTCTAAATAATTGCTTTAGATACATTATTTTATGTTACAGTACTAAGTTTTATATTGCTTTTTATCCAGTAAGGATTGCCACCTGAACAGAATTTACATCAATACTCAATATTTTTGATATGTTGAAGTGTTATATTTGTATTTGAGATTATTGTGTCAGAAATTAAATTTTATATTCCTTATTGAGGTAGATTTGATAAGACTGCAACTAGAGAATAAATATATTACATTAATTAAAATTGCTACTATATTTTAAGACATAGAATGTAACTATTTACGTTGCAAAAGTTGTTCTAAGAAAAAACTGCATTCTGCTTCCAAAACAGGCACTGAATATTTATTCTCTTTTCTTTTTTTACTTTATTTCTTTAAATACATGCCTTCAAAATTGCTGTGACTTATTAAACCTCATTTTATTTGCTTTGAATACTTTTGGCTTGTCTGTCCGCACCATAGAGAAAAGGAAAGGCTTTTCAGCTCTCCTATTATCTGTGTCCTTCTCTATACTTGAATCTCTAGGGTTGTGAAAAGATTCAGCCCATAATCTAAACCACATCACTTAAGGTTGTAGTCCTTTTAAGCCAATGTGAGATTGTACTTGTACACATATATTTTTTAAATCTTTGCTGCTGACTGCCCAAACTTTAAAGTTGCTAATTTGGAGATAAATACTAGAATCCCTCAAACTTGGTGTGAAGGGTTGTGGGGAAGAGTAGAATGTGTTGATATGTGAGTATGAGAAACAGATCTCTTATACATATATATTCTTTAGTAAAAATATTCAATCTTTTTACAATTCAAATTAAAATGTATAGTCTAAGCGCAGTTAAAGGAATGTTTCTTAAAATTCATTTTGTTTTCCTTTTTAAAAGCAAAAGAAGCAATGCTAGTATAGTATTAATGGTAAGACAGTTTAAATGTATTATTGTCCCATGTGGAATAGGAGATATTAACTGTTTTTAAAGCCTTACATTAATTTTTTTTTAAGAATTTGCCTTCCTGTAATTTTCTTCGCAATTAAAATACCCAAATATATATTTTAACAGAGGAGATGTAAGATACATCAAATATAGATGAATCAAGGTAATGTTTTTTAGACCTGAAACTATCATTGATTGAATTTATCATCAGTGTTCATTTCTATTGTATTTAGTTATCTATCTATCCAATAATTGTGTTGGCTTAGCAGAGACTGTATGTTAAGTGTATTACAGCTTTAGATTGTGAAATTGTGCAGCTTAGGTAAACATTAAAACCATTTATTTTTGTACAGCAGATTTGCAGCATTAGAACTATGTAGAATAAATATACTAGATGTTAAAGATTATACAATAAAGGAACTTGGCAAACCAAATCTGAGATCCTTGCTTTTTGTTCAGATTTTAGACTGGTTAAAAAAATAAAGGCAAAAAATAATACATGGTAAAATTTGGCCTTAATTCCAAAAGGGCAATTTGAGCCATTTAAAGAAATATGGGTAGCAGTGTCTGTCTTTTAATATGCGGCTTTAATGAAGAATTCATATTTTAAAACTTGATCAGAGGACAGAAGATCTTTATATGCATTGCGATTTTCAAGGGTATTTACAAATTGAGGACTAGAATGATAATTTTATTGCCCTAATCACGACAAAGAGAATCTCTTAGGATAAACATTTAAAACCAGAAAGTTGAATAAAACTTGAACTTTTAAGTTACAAATACCTTTGGTATGATCTTGCATTTAGAATAAATATGCTAAAACTCCAAGATTTCTTGTACTTAGTAGTTTGAGAGTTCTTTAAGTCCTTTGTATGTAATTGTTGGTATTCTGTGGTATGAATAACAGTATGCATCTACATGGCAACACTGCAGATCATATCACTATACCCATTTAGTAACTGGATGCTTTGAAATCACAATTTAAAATGCCGTTGTATGGTTTATCAGATTTTTAAAAATTATGAAATTTTATACTTTTTTCCATTCTGTATGCCTTGTTCAAATAATGAACTAAAGAAATGGTATTATCTATCTATTTATTGCCTAAAGATACTTCAGACAAAAACTAAGCTGTGAGTGGTATTTGGTTCTATAACCTAATCTGCACATGCTACTTAATTATCATTTTGTAAATATAAACATGTAAAAATGATTTGGGTTAGTATGTTATCAATAAATTCCCCTATACTTAAAGGGCTTTTTTCTTTCAGATTTTGAAATTATTTTTTTTAATCTGTGCAAAATTCAGGAAACATGTTTCTAGTATAAAGAGAGGAGTTGACCTCCTCCAAAGTGAACTATTTGGCATCCCATTTGTATACCTATATCCTTGATTAGATAATACATTGATTTTTAACATGAAAAATTTTTCACATTTTTATCTTGTTTATTTTCATTCTTTCAACTTAATCTGAAAAGTATCTCTCTTTTTGTGTCATTTTGTGCATCCCTTTGTCATAAATTTTCAAAGGTCAACTTGATTTTTTTTCTAATACCAGCTTAGAAAATCTCAGATGTGGTAAATGCCATCTTTAAAAATCTAAGTTATCTGTTTCATTTTTCTAAATTAAATGAATAACACTTACAAAAAAAGTACTTCTGATTCCCAGAAATCATAAAGAAGCAGGGGGAAGGCGTCCCTGACTTAGTCCATGTGATGCGCACATTAGCAAGTGAGAACATCCCCAGCCTCCCACCAGGGGGTGAATTGGCAAGCAAGTAAGTCATGTTCTGCATACTCTTAAAATTTATCTCCATACATAAAAATATTAGGTGTTCATTGATCAAATGTGTATTTACCTGATTTCTAAAGTGATACAATTACCTGTATCTTCAAAATGTTTAACCAGCAATTCAGTGTTTTTCATTATTAATGGTGCATGGTGCTTGTTCAGAATAGGTGTCAGAATATCATTGTTTGTAACTTATTACACTGAAGCCTGTCTATAGTAGAGACTTGAGTTACATTGATTTCCTCATACAGCACAAGTATAACATAGTAGAAGAATTTTTTAAGCTAAATTACATAGCACTGCAATTTTCATTTTTATTGCTGCTATTATAATTTGATTTTGTCAATCCCTGGATAATTTAGCACCCCAGGGATAAGCATTTTTCTCTTCCTCCATCTGGGCCATTTTTCTCCATCTCTGATTTTTCCAATGTTTTTGGTTGTTGATTCCTGGTTGGTTGGATTTTGTTGTGAGGGAAGATAGGAGGAAACATTTCTTGCCTTCTTCTGTGTGCATCTCAGTTCATAGAACTGGACTAATTTGTATTAAATATTAAGCTTACATCTTTCTAAGAAATTTTATAAATCAAGCATTTGTACCTCAACTATCCATATAGTTGACCTACAAAGATATATTGACAATTTCCTTGATTTTCTACCGTGTTCTATAAATGTACCCATGTTCTTTATGATCATTTCTCTAAATAGTAATTGTAAAAATTCCTGCTTGAAGCTTTTATTTCTTGGAAACCTTTTCTTCCAATATGACCTTTTTTGAAATGACTGTCTATAAAATTGCTTCAAATCAATTTTGGAAGTAGGGAGGCTATAACTTATGAATATCACTACAGAGTTTTTAACAAAATATTATTCAAAAATTAATTCCTAGACTTGGCAGGGGAAATGTCGTATTTGACATTTTGGTTTTAATAGAGCTTTTTAAAAGGGCCATTACAAAAAAAAAAAAAAAAAACAACAGAAATTCAAACGTAAAAATTTATCCAAATTATGTTACACAGCAGATTTTGAAGTTACTTGTATTTCAAAACTAACATTCAACTCTTAACCAGAATATGTTACTATTCTAAGACTATATCATCATTGCTGATGCATAACCGCATAAGCCAGTTCAAATGAAGTTGACCCTATTGACTGATTTTTTTTTAAACCATGACTTTTAATCTTCTATTAATTGGGTTGGTGGGATTTTACATTTTAGAGTAAATTCACATCTAGTGTAATGTTGGTGTTCAAATATCTTAACGTGAGGATCACTTATTGACAGCAAAAAATAAAATAATTTCTAAATGTAAGATTATCTGACATTTTAATGAGCACCTAACTATGAGTTATTAAGCAGTTCTGTGCTCTCAAGAATTAACTTTCTGCATTTTTTTTAAATTTAGGCGGAATGTAATTGAAGCCGTTTACAATAGACTGAATCCTTACAAAAATGATGACACTGTAAGTAGCATTTTCACTCCCTCTGCTTCCCCATCCCCTCCACCCTAAATATGCATATCCCTCCTACCTGTTTCTGCAGAGCTGTTCACTGTACCCATTCCCTTACACACACCTCTGATTGATTGTTCTGAACTCTGGCTGCACCAAAGTCCTAGTGATTGAGGACAGAATCATGATGAGTGGCCACCTCTCTCAAAAAAGAAGAAAGTCCCTTTGAATTTTCCTGTTTTTTTAAGCCTCTGCAAGCAATCAACTTCAGGTTTGCCTCCACTCAATTTTTTTAAAGTTGCTCAGAATCTTGAATTCTGAGTTTTATAAGGAGCTACAATAGAACTTGAGAATGCCCAGCTCCACTGAATAGTTCTTATGTTTGGAAATACTTTCTCTGAGAACCCTGAAGTATATACTTCATTTAAATACTAAAGTAGAGAATTCTACTTATGTGAAAAAAATGCCCTATTCTCCAGTTAAGTTTCCTGTTAGAATTCTGTTGCAGTATGGTTTACAGAAAAGTGGTAACTTAAAAATCACTTGGGCACAGCTCTAAAATATATATTGCATTATGAAGCCACCTCAAATGTCTTATGACTTGAGGTCTTAATCTCTTCCTGTGTAATAAAAGTTTATAAGAGTAGTGTTCTAAAAATAAATTAGGTTTTTATTGAAGAAAATAAAACAATTTTATTAATTACATGGTTTAGAAATACATTTGGTCAACTTCACAGTAAAATCATATTTCAAATATTTTATTCCAAAATAAATTTTAACAGCTTGAATACTGTTATTTCATAGTGTCACATACACATATTATATACTTTAAAAAGCATGTATCTGAATGTCAACTTTACAAAACCTTATCTTTCTGCACTATCCAGAGAGTAATGTGCTTTGACACCTTTCAGCTTTAATGTAGTTCCTTGTTTTGCTTTGTTTCCTTTTATAAAGGATTCTACATCGACTGATGATATGTGGTAAAACTGCTCATCTAGCCATGGAGTTTACCTTCACCTCCAAAGGAGAGTACAGCTCAACTTCCTTGAACCTTTTAAACATCCCTCCTCAACTTTAAAGAAGGACGTGTGTCATGGGTGAGAGTGGATCACACCAGAGAACTTCAGCAGTACAACAGCTAGCCCAGAACTGATTTTTTTTTTTTGTAAATTTGAGACTTACGTAAACGTGATTTCAAACCATAATTCATGTTGTAAATCAGACTCCAGCAATTTTTGTTGTATGATTTTGTTTTTTGTAAAGTGTAATTGTCCTTGTACAAAATGCTCATATTTAATTATGAACTGCTTTAAATCACTATCAAAGTTACAAAAAATGTTTGGCTTGTTGTGTGATGCAACAGATATATAGCCCTTTCAAGTCATGTTGTGTTTGGACTTGGCGTTGGGACAGGGAGAGCAGCAGCCGTGTCAGCTAGACGCTCAAATGTGCACATGGTTATGGAGAAGAATTCCCAAATCTTACAAAGCCAAATCTCCAGGGAGTTAACTGAAAGCTATCTTCAGGTTCTTGACAGTGGAGTGGGCACTGTTGAGAAAGCTGGTCCCTTCATTTATCTTTTAGGTGGTTCTCTCCTTGTTGCCGGGAGTATTGCAGGTAATGCAGTATATTCATAAGAATATCAATCTTGGGGCTGAAATGCCTTGATTCTTTGCACCTCTTTTCCAAGTCCTTACATTGAATTACTAATTGATAAGCAGCAGCTTCCTACATACAGTAGGAGACTGCCACGTTTTGCTATCATGATCGGCTGGGCCTGCTGCTGTTCCTAGTAAGGTATTCTGAATTCCATTTTATCAATAAAGCTTGATTTAACAAACAAGAAATTTAATCATGTATGTGTAATTCCTCCTTTATCCCGCCCTTTTAAAACACCATGCCATTGTAAGTGAGAAGTTTCTCGTGGGGAAAAATGTTTGTCTCTTTAATTGGGAAATAATGTTACAGCACGGATGGAACTGTTTCCCTTCCATTAGAAAGACTAAAAGATTTAAATCTGTGTTGTTTCTTAATCTCTTTTTTAATGGGTTTCTTTCTGGCTGCTTATTTTTCATTCTGTGTGTATCAGTTTGAATTTGCCTACTGTTTAATTAAAATAATTGTCAGAGCTTGACAATCTAACAGTCTATAGTAGGGGTGTGTGTGTGTGCGTGTGCACGCACGTGCTTGCCACGCGCGTGTGTGTGCGCCTGTGATTTTTTAATTGACCCATGTCTTTAGAATCCAAGTAGTTAAGATGTATTTGTGATTTGAAATAGAGCATGTTGCTAATATTTAGCTGTTGGCCTTTAAAAATAACATTCGAAGCTTAAGGAATTGTAGATATAAAAATAACCTAATTTAATTTAGGCTTAAATTCCTCTGATTAAGCATGTGAAAGTAAGTTTTAAAATCTGTCACATTGAAAAGACTACTGTTTTGTGCCCTTCTGTATTTTTGTCTCTTTAGGTTGACTATTGTATTTATTGCCGTGTAATTTAATCATTCAGTAGGCAGATTCCCCACTAGAAAACTATTAAAATGTAAGATTACAATACAACATTGAATACAAAATCAAAACTCTGTGTATAAAAGGTAGTATAATCAATTTTGTTATATTTGTTTTTTCCCTAACTTGGAAATATGCATATTTGTATATATAGCCTTAAAACTAATGTAAAGTTAGGGGAGTAGTGGGAAAAGTAATGTGAAATGTCTCAGATTTAAGTAGTTACATACCAGCAAAACCTTTTCATTATCCCTCTTATTTGTGAGGCGATTAAATGTAATTTAAGTGTATTTAATTTATATCTCAATCCAGCATGAATGAAGAAAAACAAGTACTATTTATATTTAGAATTTCATAAGTTGGAATTACAGAACCAATTCCATACTTACAAATAAATGCTCAGTGTCTAAATCTGTGGTAGAGTGTGAACTAGGATAATGTTCTAAGTTATGGCTTTGCAAGCATCTCAGTGTGCATTTAATGAATACAGTGCTTCTAGTGTAGAGTGATTACCAGACATATTAGTACTGAAAACTAAATTCCCATTATAAGAAGCCAGGTTCTTAATTTTTTAGGTAGACTGAAGTTTTTAGTTCTAGAAATTTCAAAACCGTGAATTGGATTTTGAGATGCAAAATCATAAATCACAAGTCACACTATGTGATGGGGAGCTATATTTCAAACCATAAAAGCATATTTAAAGCTTTTTTTAATTTGAGAGTTTTTAAATAAAAAAGAGGAAGTTAAGATACTCCTCTGTTAAAATTATTAGTACTGAAAAGAAGCTTGGAAGTGAGAGAAAACTATTAAGTGTTCTCTGAGAAGACGAAATCTTTTACACGAGTCAGCATTGCCATACTAGATACAATTGTTCATTATAAAAAAGGAAGTATACATTATAATAGCAGACTGTGTGTGTTCTTGATTCCTGGGGGTAATGGTGGTGGCGGGAACCAACCACACACGTTTGAAAGGCACTTTTGCACCTCTATGGTGCACTTCATTTTTGTACCACTTCAGTTCTTGCCCTCCCACCCCCTTTTGTGTGCTAATTAGCATCTCAGGGCAATGCCTCAAAATTTTTTGATGTGTTGTATGTTATTTTCTTTGGAGGGTGAAAGTTCTTTTGTGATGATAATATACCATTCAAAATGTACTTTCATATAAGTGTTTTCTTAGGATGAATTCAATTTGCTGCTTGTAATAGGAAATTCATTTTGTGTAGCAGACTCTTAACCCTAACATTAAAAAATTTCACTGGTCTCTTAATGTTTTAGCAAAGTAAGCTCTCTTAATTTCCACTTTGTTAAGGTATATACTTTTACAGATAACAGAAGCAGTTCTCAATATTAGCATTAACTTTACAAAAATCCAAATGGTATTTTCTTATTTAGCTGTAGAACTATTTCAAACATTTTTAAATATAATGCTTGCTTCTAGAATGCTATGCAATTAGTATACTGCTCCAGCCACTTATATTTTATTTTACTACATTAAGAAATTTGGATTAAAGAATAAATTATGTAATTCAAATAATCTGAATTATATCAGCACTTTTAGTGATCATCTATCTGACCACATACTAATTCCACTAAATAGCTTTTCTACAAAACCTATTGTTATCTGCAAAACACCATTCTAGGCAAAGTACCTTGGAACTATAAAGAAATGACTAGATCCTTGCCCCCAAGGAGTTTACATTTGGGTAGAATTTATAATCTAATGTACGTTAATATTATAATTGAATTACCCCCCAGAAAATAGTTATGACCCTCCCACTACTGTCTGCCAGATAATTTTTCTGAACGAGGCAGGTCTCTGCCCTACAGAACTCACTTACGCTTCCATTATTCACTTGAAAACTCTTCCGTGTATTTTCCTCTCCCCAAAGTTAAAAATCTCATTCAAAAGAAAATTTTGCTGAGCATAGGAATAAAATTGGACTGATGAGGCTCAAATCTATTCAGTATGCTTGACTACCTTTAACAAATGGCCTATTATTCTTCCTCCTATATATATAGTTTCCTGCTATATACATATAGCTTAAATTTAAGAAAAAATCTGTTTCTTTGAAGCACACTGCCATTGTTAATATCTAGTTTTAGCCAAACAATTACTATTTGTGTTAATTTTTAAAAATAATTTCACTGCCCATCTTTACTGGACAAGTTCATGTGAATTCAATTTGTAGTTTCTGAAAGAGCTGACAAAGTTGGTTACAGGTTTTCTTTTTTGTTTCAATTTTGAATTTCATGGTGTATACTTTTAGTTTATAAAATTTGAATTAGATGTGTAAGCCTGTAATGTTTTGTTATTGTGTACAGTATTAGGATTTGGTGGTAGAAAATATGTAAATATTTCAGTACATAAGTGTTTTTCTCTTTTGAGGTTTTTCTTTGAAGGAACCTTAAAGAGTTTCATACTTTTGCTTGCAGATACTTGAGATGACCATTTTGTAATTGAGTGACCTAGTCTTCTCATTAGTTTTTCTTTTAGGCATTAGGAAGACTTCTTTATGGTTTAAAACTTTAGAAGCCTAATTTTACTTTATTTTCTTCAATAATGTGCCATGAGTTTTGGATTGTATTTTCAAATTCTATATTACTTTAGAATATGCTTGAAATATTTAAGGATACATTTTCTAAATGTTGCAAGTATAATACTATATTCTTTTGTTGGTCAGAATATAAGTCTCAAGTGTTAGTTATTATTGATAATCAGAATGCCGCCAGAAATGAGGAGAGGCATTGAGTTCCACTTGATTGTCAAATGAACATTTCTACTTTTGTTCACCTTCACTCATTCTTTCCCTTTTACCTGCTTTACGTATTAACCTAGTGGCCTCTGCTCTCTTGTTTTTCTGATTATATTACCAGCAGGTATGCGCCAACTAGAAAAATTCAGGTGTATTAGAATCATAGTTGACAACTTGTATTTTATTAGGTGAGGGGAAAAGTTGTTTGAATAGATATAACAAAGAAAGAAGTGACTTTTTCCCCCCTCCCTTATCCATCATGAAATGTTGCTTTATTTCCTCTACCACCCTCTTGGTGGTGGTTATCTCTCTGTCTCTTTTTCAAACATAGGCAGGCCAATTCCATTTTCTTGAGAAAGAGTTCAGTGCATTACCTCACCAAGGCCAATTACTACTATATAAAACTGGGCTGAAAATAAGAAAATTTGGGAGATGCCAGTGAGGAGGACAGAGAGGATTACTCTTAATTATTGTAAAAGCCACAGAGAGGTCTTTCTCGAACCAGGTTGTATATTAAGAACTGTTACATCAACCGCCAAGAACCAACTTTTGCTTCTTCAGATCATTTGATTTTTCCATCAAGAGAGATAATGATAAAAAAAAAAAGTACTTCTGCTTCAACTTAAAAACAGAAAAAATAAACGCAAATGTTTATCCACCACGAAACCCAATCCTTTCAGTCTTTTAATTGCTCCAAAACTCAGTTTCTGTTAGCTTTCTCATTGAATTAAATGTACAGAATTTAATGTTTTTCCTTTCTTTCCATAGTCCCCTGGTCCATTAAAAGGCATTGGGTAACATCTGTGTTTGTATTTTACTCCCTGAAGTAAGGTTGGTGTAGGAGATTGTAGCCGCAGAACAAAATTAGTAATATCTCAATCAGGTATATAGTGAGTGCTACAAATTCATTTTAGCAATGATGCTTATTAGGTTCCTGGGCCTTTTGAAATTGATGAATCCTAGGAACTTCCTCACCCAGGAAAATTCATATAATGTACCTACCTCCCCAAAGTTTACGATATTGGAGGGGTTCATCAGCCTTTTTCCTTCAAGAAGACCATAAAATATATTTCAAGGGTGTCAAAATAATTTGAATAATTTAAGGAAGGGTTTAACTTTTTAAGAGAGGAGGTGAATGGGAGCCTCGGCTAGAAACTGATATTAAAAGACCCATTTTAAAGGCTGTATTTGGGGGGAAAGAATAATTAAAGGTGAATAAAATAATATTTGGACCAGTTTTGGAGGATAACATCACTCTTAAGTTTGCCACTTTTGAAACTTCACGGAAAAGAGGTAAAATGGAAATTAAAAGTGTGGAATGTTTCTGACCTGCATAGTGCATATATAGTATATTCACAAGACATTGAACTGTCCGATCTCACTCAGGTTTTAAAATTTTGAGCTTCCTGGTTTTAGAGTTCATTACATGTTTAATTCGCTTCACATTCTAGGAAATTAGGTATTTAACATATGGCCATCAATGTACAGGATTAATGGGATTTCTACTAAAATGTAACAACCATGAAAAGATTAGCTTGTCTCATTTGTTGCCCAAATTGGCTGTTAAGTTACAGCTTACTTAATTCCCATTTGTGGGAATTTTGAAACAGAAACCATTGTCTTGCTTGGTCAGCCCTTCACTTAAGTCAACAGCATATCTGCAGGAAGGTATCTTGTGTGTAGTAATATGCCCCAGTAGTAGTTGGTTTCACTCTTGAAATGACTTATTTCACTTAATTTGTATAAATGTTACAAGTGGAGAGTCCATGTTAAAAGCATGTTGTATTATACATACGTTCATTTTTTAAAAATCTATAAATGTAAAACTAATACAACTGCAGAAATATTTTTCCTAAACAGTGTATAA